CCGGCCTCCGTCGGATGCTGGGCACGCCGGCCGGCCGGTCCCACCGGCGCCGGCTCGGATTACCGCGCTCCCCTCCCGGAGACGGGCGCGCGGGCGCGGGGAGGGGAGCGTCGCCACTTCCTGGGCCGACTCCCCGCGCGCCGCCCAGGAAGTCGTCAGGTGGAGACCGGCGCGGCCTGGGAGTCAGGTGGACGGGCGGGGGGCCGGCCCGCCGGCCCGCCAGCCGCCTGTGACGCGCCGCGCGCACAGGAAACAATCACGGCGGCCCGGCGGAAACAATCACGGGATGTGGGGACGGGCGGGACGCGGCGGCGGGGGCGCGCGCGCCAGACGGCGGGCGGACCCGCTAAAAAAGGTCATCAAGAGCTCGGCCGACCCCCGCCGCGAGCCCCGACCCTCATTACGCCCCGCAGCCGACACTGTACGGAAGGGGAGGACCGAGTCCTGACAAATTACCGCGCCGACAGCGCGCCGGCCAATCGCACCGAGAGGGCGTTCGGCGGGAGAGGCGACAGTGGCGGCGGTGACTGGGCGCGCCCATCGGTGACGCGCCCACGGCCTGGTGAGGCCAGGCGTGCCGCCCCTGCGCTGCACCGCCGGCCGGCGCCGCAAGCCTGCTGCACACGACACCCCTCTTATCGTGCCACGCCATTTGGAAAGCACAGGTCTTGCACACTTCTGTATCTGTAACCATCTCATGCCCGAAACCGCACATGCATGTACCTGATCGTTCAGCCATGACAGGACGCATGTCGACAAGGGCTGGAAAGATAGCTGCTCGGCGGCGACATGGGCTGTTTGCGTCCTTCGAGGGCTCAATGTGGAAATTAGTCGGATTCCTGGCGAGGAAGAACGAGAATTGCCGGTCTGATATCAAGCAACAGTTGTAATGTGGTTGCTGCTTCCTGACAACAATCGTAGTACCTGCACACGGTCCACCTCACGCCAATGGTGGCTCTCAGCGCACTATCGACTGCATCATTTCGAAAACAATTTCCCACCCTTACCATTGGGTTTGGGCTCGCGAAACTGGTGCACATTCGCGTCTCACTAGTAAACAAGGCGACCGGTACTGCGAAGAATGCGCGCAGTAGATTGGCTATCTTTTCAACTACCTACTTCACCGGAACAAGTAACGCGTGGAAATATCAACTTCTTCAACGGAAAGTGGAGCCCAGTTTTCTCTGCTTCGGTAAATATCACCAAATGTCGTGCTCGGACCTGTTAACTCAGCTAGTGCAAGCTGGACGGGCGCCCATCGCTGACACCCAGCAGATCTCCTTCATGAAACAGCTCAGCAAATTCCAGGTCAAACGGAAATGCTTCCAGACTTTGCTGAAGTGATCACCCAGCGGTGAGATGAATGGGGGAAGGCCTTTCCCCGGTGCCCGGGGACGGCGAGGCCGCGGAGGCATCCTGGCCTTTCTCCGCGAGGCAGCTGATGTTTTCTGGCGTTTCTCCGCACGGCAGCTGAGGTTTTCCGGCGTTTCTCCGCCTAACACCTGGCCCACGTGCTCCAGTCGACCGCACGCCCATTCAGCAGACGATGTGCCAGGTTCCTTTAGAGTTGGACAGCCACGCGGGACTGAGGGCTGCGGACACGCGGGCATGCATGGGGGTTACGATACCGAGCTGCTGCCTCATGGAACAGGCTGCCCGCAGCTGCTGTTACTGAGCGTCCGACAATGTTCGCGCACCTGGGACGTGAACAAGTACCAGTATGTTATAAGTGCCAGTATGTAATAAGTGCCAGTACGATGGGAGTCCATCTGCTCAGTAAGCTCAGTATTCCTGACGTTTTCCTTTGCAGCAGCGGAGTGTTCCCGCGGCTGACATTCCCTCGGCGGCCGACATTCCCTTCATTCCTCAGCTGCTCAGTTCCTTTTCAGCTCCCTCCCGGTGTTTTCACGCCTCACAGCTGAGATTTTCTTGAGTTTCTACGGCATCCGCTAGGGTTCCCCGATGTTTCCCCGCCAATACACCGAAGTTTCTTGGCGTTCCTCCACCAAGAAGCCGCCGTTTCCCAGTGTTTCCCCGGCACCAGGCCCGGTTTCCCGGCGTTTCTCCGCCGAGCAGCCGCGGTTTCCCGGCGTTGCCCGGTCGGCGGCGGTTTCCCCGGCCCGGGTTTCCGGCCGTTTCTCCGGCAGGCTGCCCAGGTCTCCCGGCCGCCGGCCGCGTCAACAACTGGGGCCGGCGGCGCCGGAACCGGCGACAGCTGGCGGCCAGCCGCCGAGCGCCGCACCTGGACGGCGCGCCGGCCGACCGCAAGGCCGCCGCGCCGCTCCCACGCCGGCTGCCCCCGATCGCGGGTCAGCTATGAATGGGGACGGCCGCCGCCGCCGCCGGGTCAGAGGTACAGTTAGTCGGCAGCCGTCGGCCGCTGCAATTAGGCGCCTTTAACGGGTCGGCGCGCGCTTGCCGGTCGGCGCCGGCCGGCTCGGCGCCGACCAAATACGGACACCCGGCCCTCCTGCAGTCGTCGCTCCATGCTAATTGGCAGGATACCAGCCAAGGCTGTTTATTGTTTGAGGCGGCGGCGCTTCAGACTCGAATGGTTGACCGTCGGCGACATGACAACCGGCGCGCGCCCAACCGAACCGGCCATGCGACAGGTCCCGTGGTGCCCAGGTGGCGCAGCTGGGGGCAGTCGCCCGCGTCCGCAGCCGACAGCGACACGTGGCTGCGGTTTGTTGACCATGCCACATTTCCCAGCGGCCGAAGCGAAAAATCGGCTGCATCAGGCCTAAGTGCGGCATCAAGCGACCATGGCTGCGGCGATCAGGGATTACGGCGACGAGCTTAAAAAACACGTGGCTGAGTGGTGTGGAGAACAGCGCAAGTGAACAGGCAGTGTGCCTACACAGACACGAGCGAACCGGCGGCTGAATCAAGGACAGTACGAGGCATGATGTCACTGCTTCAGCAGAAACATCATACGTTAAGACAAAGATGCACTCCAAGAAATGTGCATAAGCCATTTTATCCACGAACAATAATACAATTATATTTTTAAGCGGCAAAACCACGTTACCAGTCCAGCCCTGTCGTCGGAAGCTCACAGCACGGGGAAGGACACTGGACAGGATAGCAGGGATCTCCAAACTCTGGATCAATGAAGCATTAGCCAGAGACATCGCGTGGTTAACACCGCACCACAACTAGACGCCTCCCATACGCTTCTGGGAGCTTCTTCATCGCTTCCCTTTACGCATCGGTGCAGCTCCGCTGACTCGACACAGGAGGCGGGCGCTGGGCGGCCGGGCTTGTCCGCCGCAGGCGGACCAGGCCTGCAAGCTCTAACGTCTGCCCTGCGCGATGTTCCCAGGTGGGGGGGGGGGGGGGCACAGAGGTCCGGCTGCCACCCCTCCCTGACTATATTGGAGCTGGCGGCCTGCTGACGACACATTTCCTCAACGTGACCTATGAAGACACAGTCTGGTGCGTCGGGGAACAAGTGAAGAACATCGCAATAGTCCTTGCTGTCTGGATAATACAGAGGTTCGCAAATACTTTCAGCGCGCTTGCTTCCAAATCCAATGAAAACAAGAGTAACCCATGGTTATACAACTGGTTAGTGGACACCGGTGTCCCTCCCTCTGGTCGCATTGCATTGACACCCCGTCTACATGAATCGTAACTGCCCGACCGAACGGCCTCGTCAAACACATCACAGGACAGGTGTAATCACAATGGAGAAAATCAAATGTCCTCAACCACCCAGCGCAAACACCGCTGTAGAACTATCGTCAGTAACCGGATATTCATATCCGGTTAGCAATAAAACTCCAACCATACGCCCTGTACTTACGCTCGCTGCAACAGTTACGCTTAACAACAGTAACCGTTATCGCTCGGCCCCAGGCATACTAGAGCCATACACCACGACGGCGAGGCCGGTCCCAAAACCTGGCAGCCACATACTGCCGGAGCCTCATTCAAAGGCGGCGACCCGTGGCATTCGGACCATCTCTAAGCCCGTCAGTTCATGGTGATCGATCAATCCAGGCAATGCCAAGTCCCGACACACACGGTGAAGGCGAAGGTGCAATCGAAACCGGCCAGACTCCCAGCCAGGGAGCTCACGGTTACTGGCGAACAGCCTTGAGAATCGGCAACCAAAATCAATGAAATAGAAATGGCTATTGGAGAACAGCCTTCAGAATCAGCAACCAAGGACAGTGCAGTAGAACGATAAAGCTCGCGGGCATCGCAGCAGAAACCCAGTATAAGTTGTTAAGCATGCAAATGGCTAGCACACGTGTCTTGTAGTCATTCGTGATGGCAGTGAAACAATCTGCATTTTGGCCTACCTCCGACCCGTTTCACCCAACAGCAGCTCACTTTTCGCTTAGCATAGCATTGACCAATCGCACCCCGCGGTTCGTGGCACAGCCACCGTGCTGTTCTCTATTCGCTTGCGGCGCGTGCGATTCAGACAGCAGCAACAGCGACTCCCTCACAACGCCAGCGACACCGTCAGGAGTCACGAGTGGGCCCACATCAACTCTGTTCATCCCAACTTCAACATGGCGGCCGCGCGGCGAGCTCGTGCTAGCTAGATAAATAAGCCTCAGCCAGCCCGGTTCATATCTCAAGGTCCGAGCCGAGCCCGGCGGCGCTCCGGCGTCGCCTGTCTCCGACCAGGCACAAAAAGTCGTCGCCAGATGCGGCCCTGGCGGCCCCGGGCGGCCGGCATCCGTTAGCTCGGGCGGCGGCGGCGGCGGCGGCGGCCGCGGCGCCAGCCTGCGCAGCTGCACTCCGACCTGACCCAGATCCACATACCGCACGGGATGAATGAATGAATGACGCCGCACGCCATCGGCCGGCCTCGGAAGAGAAACGCACGGAAGCGGTTGACCGCCGCCCCCGGCTGGGGAGAGCGGACCCGCCGATCGATACCGAGATGCAGCGTCGCTCGCGCCGAGTGAAAGTGGGCAGTGTCGGCGCCGGCCTCCGCCGCACAGATGGCCCGAGAACACGGCCAGGCGCCGCCATCTTACCTGGACAGAGCAGATCCTCACGTGATGATGGTGCGAACAGGATATCCAAGACGACACAAATCGCAATCTGACGCAAAACAGCGACTCGCCGGCAGCAGCAGCTCCGACCCTCACCCCACGGCGCCTCTGATACGACTGAATGGGGCGCACCACGTGTGCCCGTTTCCGCAGCGACCAGCCCCTAAGCCCCGCCTCCATCACTATGGTAACGCCGCGTCCGGCCGTCGCGGCCGCTGGCTGCCGTGCGCTGGCGAAATCGCCCCATTCATTCATTCAGTATGAATGAAATGGTATGACTTCGACCGGAAACACGCGCGTTGGTTAAAAACCAGCCGTCACGGACTGAATTTAAACAAATGAGGGAAAAGGGGGCTCGGCTGGTGCCGGGGGAATGCCGAAGGTGAATGGATGCCGCACAAATACCGGGCGGCGCTGGGGGCCGCGTCAGGGTAGGGCGCAGCGACGACAGGGGTCCACCTGTGGCACGGCACGGTGGCGGGACCAGACCGGAAGTGCGTGAGCGTCTGTGGGACGGTCAGCCCATGATGGCCGGGCGTCCAGTTCACCGGAGAACTCGCTGCCCCGCTACAGACCCGGACAGCCGGCACAACGCGCGAGGCAGCTCGACAATTTCGATCCGGCCGCAATGCGACCATTACTGGAAGAGCCGGTAGGCGTGTTTGGTCGAGCGCCTGCTGCGGGGATGGGCACGGCACTTGCGGTTTACAAAGCCCAAATGCAATCGGCCTAAAAGAAAAACACTGCACCAATAATCTGCAGTGGCACCGGTGGCTTTGTCAGTGTGGGTATTTGGAGCTGGAAGCACTCAATTCGGGAGCATAAATCCGATTCTTTCCGTGCAATACCCATCCGTAGGCGTCACAATGTCTTTCACGATTACTGAACTACTGTCACGACGCAAAACGACATGACTGAAGGTCGTAGATAAGCCACTTACAACTAACATGATAAAATGCGTCGCCGTATGTGTGCGGCATTTTTGTGCACTGGGGTGCCTTGAGCTGTCCTTCTTTTACCATCGTTTTACATCGGTATTCCTCAATCCTGCAAATGCAACAGCCACGCCGCAGCGGTATAAAGTAGTTTCGTGCACCCCGTCGCCAGCCTACAGCCGCGCACCCACCGGGACCCGCTGGGGCAGTCTGGTCGGAGTCCGCGCAGGTTTACTGGGCCCGGGCGCCGCCCGCCGCCTCCAGGCACCAGTGACCTCAACAGAGGTCGGCTCGCGACGGGCGGACGCTGAAAAAGCCGGTGTCAGTGCGCGCGGGCGAGATCCGTGCGAGGCCTGAGCCCGGGCTACGTCTAACACAGACGTCACCTGCGTGCGCAGTGTCGCGACCGTGCAGGGCAATGGTAATCGTTAAAAGTGTTTCATCACCGAACACAGAACGACTAGAGATTCTCATTTGGATGGAATATTTCTCAACACCCGGTGCTGTTTCTAGCATCAGCAGAATCGGATCAAAACCGGCCTAACATGGGCAGGCTGCTGGTATCGGTGCCATGAAGCGAACTTCCAAGAGCTCAAAGCAGACAACTATGCCCTGGTGTGAACAGAGTAAACGGTAAAAATGCTAGGTAACACTCAATGTCAAATTTGCAGCATTAACCATTCTGCACGTCCTCGATGTTTCTTTTATGTTCACATTAAGTGCCTTACTGTATCTGTCAAGAGACGCCAAAAGTTACTCTTGGATAGGGTCAAATGGTAACTTTCTGAGACGCAAGGTATTGTGTATCCCCATCTTAAAATGTATTTTTTGTCCTCAGGCTATTGACAAATTGCATCCCAGCGATTTCAGGCGTCTACTTCCGTAAATATCCCAGCTTGCGTTCTAAACTGGGAGCTCTGATGCACAATATTATTGGTTTTATTTCATTATTATTTTCTGAATGTATGACAGGTGTTGGCTAACATCGTCAAACAAGCATTGAACATGCTGAGAAAAATCGACGTTTCGAAGCTGTGGTCATGTCTAAGAGTGCAATTAATACGGAACCTGTCATGCGTAACTGTACGAGGATTTGAGTTTGCAAATAAGTCCATTTTGCTGTAACGCCGCTGATAGCAGTCATGTTTGATGCATGCAATAGAGGTCATAAACTTTTGGATCACTCTGGGACCATGACATGACAATAACAAAACAACATCTTCACAAAGTCGGATTATTTTAATGCAAGCCAAAGTTTGATTGATGGTATCGTTTCATTAGTACCTGCTAGCGTATTCCTTGCCGATAATTTTTGTATAAGAATCCCCACTTCATAATGCTGAAAAGCCAGGATTTGAGGGACAGGACTGAGAAGCCACTGCATTCTACGACGTTAGGTGATCGGTTTTCAGTTTTATCAAGAATGATCTGTTTGTTTCAGTTTTAAGAGTGATCTGTCAAATTAGGCAAGACGCAATCACGTTCATCTGCAGCGGTTGGAGGTTTTGTTTTATTCACAGGGCAAATTATGCGTTATATATATATATATATATATATATATATATATATAACATAGGGCAAAAACAGTCACCAGTCAGTCGCCAAAAGCTGTGCTTCAGGGAAATACCCACAAGTTGTCTCCTGCTAATGTCAAACAGGGACTGGCTCACCTGAGGCAGGTGCAATAAAGTCCAAATGCGAACGTGACTCTAAATTATTTATACTTATCATCACACTGAAGCCACCAGACCATTCCAGCTAACGTTCTTGTTTTAGTGAATTGAATGTATATTGAATTGAATTGAATCATACTGAAGTTATATTTTTACTTAACATAAATATTTCATTTTATTGAAACGTGCAAGTAACAATGGACGAGCACAGGAAGTCATAATAGACCATGTCACTTTATGTAAATTTTTCCACGACGTGGAGAATCATCAGACAATGGGCCAGACAAGCTAGCTACGAAGCCAAATCATTATTTGTGTCAACAATCTTGCAAGCGATCTTAATGTTAACAGTCTAGTTAATGAGTGCGTCTCACCTTTGGGCATGTTTCAAAAACGTAAGTTAGTGAAGTCTTAGGACTAGTTACGTCTAATGATAGCACTGGGTAGTGCCACCGCAGCACCGTCAAAACATAATGGGATATTAATTTTAGTTATTGTTAGTCAAAATTCAACTGTCAACACTTTGCAACAGCACTACGCTTCTGCCACCATTCGCTGCTTTACTGGTGCAAATAAAAGAACGTTTGTGATCAATCCAGCGAGCAAGGGCCTGCTGCCGAGAAGCGCATTGGTTGAAATTTGATCTAGGGCGTCACATAGATCTTGTGAAACTCCCATTCCCAAAGCCAAAGTGCGCCTCGAGAACAGTCACTGTGGTAGACGTCATAGGGGAGAAATGAAAGCCATACTATAACGCTTCTTTGAATTTACGGGACAATAGCGTCATGTTCGAGGATCTTGATCTCTAAACAGAGCATTTCAAGCTTTCGTAGCATCTATAACGCAAACAATTCGACACATAATTGCGTTGTAAACATTACAGAGCATACGCATTGGAAAAAGCACGGCAAATGAAATGTATTACTAGCATAGTGGTGAGCAGAAAGTCAAATGAAATTTCAATAGCACCGTCTGCCCCCACCCCCCTTCCCCATCTCTCACCCCTCTCTTTTCTCGACTATCTATATCCATTTTTTATTTCCTTTCACTCTTCCTACATCTGCAGATGGAAGAGGCCGGAAATTTGTGATCCTCTTCCTCTGCTTGCTTTCCTTGCGTCGTTTCACCAGCACGACAAAAAACGGCAAAAACAGGCCAATATGTAGGGTTTTAGGTCACCGTTTTGCTGAAATCAAAAACATGCCGTAAATCTATGTGGACAAAACGTGGAATTCGTAATGTTTTGATACTGCACGCAGATTGTTAACAGTTGTGCAGACAGTCATTAACGGCATCACAGTTTTGTGCCTCAGCCTCTCCTACACCATTGAGTCCTACATTTTTGCAAAATGTTCTTATATACGGAAATGCCGGATTTGGTTGCGGTTATGTAGACCGTTCTACTCACAACATCCATCCGGAGAATGGAATCAATTTCACCCTGCTCGAGGTGATTGCGAATTTGAGAGGTTGGGCACACCAAAAATTGTTTAATTGTTTCCTCAAAGCGAGGAGAAAATCATGATTCCCAAGAGCAGTTTCAATCCTGTATATATACATTATGTATATATATATATATATATATATATATATATATATATATGCACATGTGTGTGTGTGTGCGTGTGTGTGGTACGCGCCTGGCATTGGGTCCGTGCTTAACATCAACATCTCGCCACACGATTTTAGTGCAGATAAAGCATCTTCAGCGAAAAAAGATGACAATGGCACCAGGAAAAGATGCCGCAAATTCTTGAGATAAACGGATTGTTGGATAACCGTACGACAATATTTGGGTTCCGGAGCAACGGCAAAAACAGTACTTAATCCTGATCTTATGGGCAAAGACAAATGGTAAATAAAATCCTAGGGACTATAACCGCATGTTAACAACGAAGTACATTGATGAAAGCTAACTGCACTAGTAGCCTCGCTAACTATGCAACAAGAAAGCAAACGACAAACACAATTCATGAAACCAATACCTGTTTATCATTGTACGCCAGTGAACACTCCAGAAAACATTGAAATAGTGAAGTTGCGAGCATTTGGCTAAGGATCGCAGCAGAAGCAACATCTCCTTTTAACCAAAACGCGTCATTTTGTTCCCCTGCATCCCCGCAGTTTCGCTGCTCCTTTGCTACATGGGAAGTCCCCCGCTTCTCCTTTCTTTCGAAATATTTCAAAAAATTTTCTTGCCTGTGTGAATGTTGTTGGCTACGGAGCACTTGTTCAGCAGAGCTTTTTGCGTAATCCTTCATCCCACCACCTAAAGCAAATGTGTCAACCCATTGATAATTTTTACATCTTGTTTGTCCCAAAACGGGTAATGTCTCGCATATTCTTGGTTAAAATTGTCACATTTTAGGCGCAATTTAGTTTTTTACAAGGATTCAGAAATTTATTTCATTTCAGTGCAAAAAATGGTCTTCCGCAATACTGGTTCTGAAGATTTCATGCTAGTTTAGAGCTGCTAATGCCAGATGTGGCATATTT